CGTCCGGCTGGACGTCGAGGGAGTCGTCCCAGTCGGGGGAGTCTTCCCCCGACTCGGAGGGCGGCCCCCCATCCTCCCCAGCGATGTCGGGGAAGAGGGTCTGCACCACCCTCTGGACGAATCCTACGTCCAGCCGCTCCGTCAGCGGGGGCGCCCATGGTCTCAACTTATTGAGCACCATTTTGTATGGGCGCCCCCACGGATACTCTTGAAGGGAGTCGAGGAACTCCGTCCACGCCCTGCCCTTTGCCACGGTGATGGCTCGCCGGAGGGCTACCTTGGCCTCAAGGTAGCCCTCCCTCGCCCGTTCGGCCGCCTGTCCGCCCCTGCGCCTGCAGCGGGCGAATATCCTCCCCTGGTGGACGGCGCGTCGACGTAGGTCGGCGATCTCCGCCGTCCACCAGTGGACGGCCCGCCGAGGCCGAGTCTTGGACCGGGACATAGCAGCGTCGCACGCCGCTGTTAACGCTACCCCGATCCACTCGGCCTCCCGCAGGGGGTCCATCTCCCGGGTCTCAGGGAAATCTCCCCGGACCCAACAGGCGGCCTCTAGCGAGGCCATCAGGGCGTCCTCACAGAGTTTCTTGAGGGCCCATCGCGGTCGCGTCTCTTGGCGACGCACGGAGGAGAGGGCACCGAGCTCCACCGTTATATAACGGTGGTCTGACAGAGTCTCTGTGCCCTCCTCCACCCTCCACTCTGTAATAAGGCGAGCGGCCGAGGGGGTAGCCCACGTGAGGTCCACGATGGACTCCCCCTGCGTCCGCATGCAGGTGGAGGTCCGGCCCTCGTTAACCAGGACCAGACCGTGCGTCGCCGCCCAATCAACCAGGGCCCTGCCCTTCTCGTTGTTGTGCCGGGAACCCCAACTCGTGTGCCACGAGTTAAAGTCCCCGGCCACGAGGACTGGCCTTGGACTCAGACTTAGGACCGTCTGTCCTATGTCCAAGAGCCAGTCCTGGAACGGGGCAAGGCTCCTGGTGGGCCTTAGATAGACCCCCACTACCGCGAAGGGCCCCCACTGAACGGCCACGTGCCGTTCACCGTTCACGATGGCGGTCGTGTCGGGACCACCCGGCACCGACCGCCACCGTATCGCGACCGAGTCCCCCGCCGCCCCATTATCGACAGCCCAATACGGTCTGTCCCTGGGGGGGGGGGGGCGATGGGGCTCGGCCACGATCGCCAACGTGAACCCCCTCTCTACCATGCTTTGCTGGAGTAAATCCTGCGCATGGGGAGAGTGGTTCACGTTGGCCTGTATAAGGCCGTAACCACCGAGGTTCGGACGGGGGGGATGACGAGGCATTGTTAGGCCTTATCCCCCCCGTCCGATGGGGCCTCCGTATCCATGGCCTCCTCTCCGGTGGCCCTTTCTTCTCGCGCCTCTTGGCGCGGCTGGCGCCGCGGCTTGGGCGCCTCGCCCGATTCGCCGCTCAACCCCCCTTTTCCCCTTCTGCCGGCTGAACTTCAGCCGGGGGGGGGCCCGGTAATCGGCGCCTTCTCTTGGGCGCCCCGCGTTGGTGGGCGTCCGCGCACGTTGCGCTGGGCGCAGGGTTTCGCACCCAGCACGTGTGCCGCCGGTCTGCCCTTGTCCGTGCAGAGCGGACATTTAGGGGCAGACCGGCAGCCGCGGGAGGTGTGACCGGCTTCTCCGCACCGATAACACCTCCCGCTCCTGTCCTTCTCGATTGGGCACATCGCCCTCGTGTGGCCCCTCTCGAGGCATCTGTGGCAGCGCATGGGCCGCGCCTCGAGAAGGGCCACTCTGGCCATCACCCAGCCAGCCCTTATCCGCCATTGCTGGACGATTTCCTTCGCGGAGGTGAGGGGGAAGCGGGCCCAAAGGCTGTACGTGCCTCCGGCGGCCGGCTGCAGCGCCCCGCACTGAACGTCGGAGACGCTGCACCGCGCCGCATCGGCCACCCACCCCCTCACCTCCTCGACTCCCAGGGAGTCTTCCAAGTCCCGTAGGCGGATCTCCGCTATTTTACGCGGCCGACTGATCCGCGTTTCCTCCTCGTCGGGGAGGACCTGCCTGATCCGCTCAGCGAGCAGATCGGCTTTCTCGGCATGGCCCTCCCCGAACACCTCAATGACCCTGGCACCGGTGGCCCCGGATCTAATAGCGATCCGGTCCCCGATGCCAAGATCATCGAGCTTAATCTTTCGCCTTAAAGTGGTTAGGGCCTCGCGGTAGTCGCCGCCGATTCGTGTGATCACGACGGCCGACGTCCGCGGGACCCTCCGCCTAGGGGCCCTCTTTGGCGCCCCCCCAGCCTGCCCCTTCGCCGGGGGACCGGGGGCCGCCGCCCCGGAGGCGCCCCTGGCCGCTTTGTTCTGTGCGGCCCTGGCTTTCCTCCCAAGCACCGTCGCGTACGAGTCAACACCCGCGACGGGCTGGGGGGGCTCGGCGGTCCCTTGGCTTGAGGGACCCGCCTCCTCGACCTGCTGCGTTCGCCGCGAAAGGGGGGCCTTCTTCTTCTTCTTCTTCTTCTTCCTGCCCCCCCCCCCGCGGTGTTCACAGCCTCCCCTGGAGGATCCGTCCTCCTTGCTCCGGACCTCTGATCGGCCCCGGGAACCGGGCGGTCCCTCGCGGCACCCCTCCTCCCCTCTCGAGGGTTGGAGGGGACCGCCGCGGGGCCGCTAATACGGGCCCCGCCGCCGACAAAGGTCCGGAACATTTCCTCCATTCTCCGGAGGATCTCCCCTTGGGACCGATCCACGGCCTCCTGGATCCTCCTCTCCACCATCTCCCCCGTAAGCTCTCCTGCCTTCGCCGGCAGGGGCCTCCCCGTTTTCTTCGGGGCTTGGGGGGGTGGTGGAGGGGGATTCCTCGCCCGGTTTTGAGGGGGATCGGTCCTCTTCTCAGAGGCAGACCTCTCCTTCCCCCTTGTCCGTGACCTCTCCCTCCCCGGGTTCGGGACCCGGGAGGTGCCCGCCTTCGGCGTGACCACCTCCCAGGTCTTTTTCTCCGGGGGCGGGGGGTCAGCTACTTTCCCGGGGGGAGGGGGTCCAGTGGTAGACTAGCATCGTCCACCTCCATCCTCCCGTCCTCCCGGGCGTTCTCCACCATAAGGGTGGTATCTCCTCTATTTCGCGGCGGGTCGGGGGGTGGCATCATCCCCCGATCCCTTCCCTCCTTTTCCTTCTGGAGGGCCGCGACTTGCGCCTTGAGAGTCGCAAGCTCCTCTCGAAGCGCCTCCTCCCCTTCACTTGTCCCGCCTCTCATCCTAGTGGACAACGCGTCCACGGCGAGCCTCGTGTAAAGGGCCCCTTCCCGTATCATTCCGGCGACGGTGCCCTTCAAATTTTTGCTCGTTTTGGCCAGGTGGTCGATTTTGCTACTGTAATCGACCACCTTGGCCACGAGGTCCCGGGTAGGGAGCTGGGGGATCTGCTCCCCCAGCTCCCTCTCCTTCCTCCTTCTCATGGATCCTTCGTACTGCAGGGGGACGTAGTCCCCCTGCATGGCCCGCTCGATCTGGCGCTGCTCCTCTTTCAGTTTCTTGAGGTCCTTATTCGCCGCTTTCCGGGCCTCTATCGCGACGCCCTCCCCCGTCTTTATGGGCCTGCCCCTGCCGTCTTTCTTGGGGGGGAGGAGGTCTTCCTCCTCCCCGCTGGAGCTGTCGAGGGGGCGCGCCACCTTCGCGCCTTTCCCCCTCCCACCGCTCCGACTCCTCTTCGTGGCCCCCGAGCGGGACGTGTGGGTCTTAGTGCTCTCGTCGGAGCCACCGTCCCCCTCGGGGTCCACCGTGCCGGCGGTATCGTTGGTCGCGAAGACGTCACTGTCCGCCTAGCTCTGCGCGGTGTCCTCCCCCTCCGTATTCTTCGGGGAGGGGGATCCTTTGGACCTCTTACTGATCCTGCTGGCCAGGCCCGTCGAATCCTCTTCCTTGTCCACCAGGTGGTCCCGGACTTGGGGGTCCGACTTAGTCCGTCGAGCGTCCTTTACCCTCTTCTCTCGGAACTTGGCGCACTTGGGGCCGGGTCTTCGGACCCCCAGCTTGCCAACCTCCAAGGACACCTCCACGCCTGTTATCGTGGGGCCAGATAGCCCAGACGGCCCAGGCTGTTGATAGACCGTCCCGCCGTCCTGGTCCCCCCCCTTGCACGCCCACCGCTGATGCCCGCGGTTGCGTGCCCTCTCCCTCCTCCACTCCCTCTTCGGCATTAAAAAAAGATTTTCGAGAGAATCCATTTTCCCTTAATTCCCACTCCGTGCAGGGCTCCGCCGACCGGGGTATACCCCCTTCGGGCCACGACCGACCGCGAGACGTGACCACGGACGCCGGCCCCCGAGTCCTCCCAGGGGGGTCAGCATATGCCACGGGACGGGGGGGATACCGCACCCCGCCACTGGGCTCCAGCCCCTTACTCACCCCCGCGCTCAGTGCGTGGGGGCTTTCGGGGGTTCCGCGCCTCCGACCTCGCGGATACCCTGCACGTGCCTGCCAAGGCGGGGAGGCCCCGCGGACAGGCGGAAGTGTCAGGGGAAGCCCGCACCCCCTCGTCCGAGCAGACTGCCGGGTCCGGGACACTGCCCGGGACCACGACAGTCC